TTCCCCCCCCCCCCCCCCCCCTGAATCTTTGCGGTTATATTGACATCATGAAGTATATGTGATTTTAGTCCATTACAAATGATCTGAATGACTACCATTTATCTCAATATTCAAACTAACAGTGGTGTAGTGTAATTCTGTATCGACATACTGTATCTATTACCAAATGTTAAAGGAGCAGTCATATTTGTGGGTCAAACGTTCATCTCTCAAAAGTGTCAATTAATTATCCATGTCCATATGAATATTAATAAATTAATATGTTAATATTCATGATTGTTTTGAATTTTTTTTTATCGTTGAATCTTTTGTAAAAAACAATTGCGGTTACGTATAACCTTTAGGTTGAAATTTCACAATCACAACCACCATTTGCCAGTTTTATTCTCATACATAAGCCAGCTTGTGCCAATCCGCCATCAAGCCGTAGACATGTCCCGTAGATGTTCACAGCCTTTTCACTGAGTAGGAAAACGACAGAATCAGCTACTTCTTCCGAGGTTGGCCAATTTCCCTCAGGAATCATTTTTAGGAAGTTATTAGCAGTTTTCGGATCCTATCTGATATAGGACTCCCGACTAAAGACAATCGCATATGATTGAATAAGAACTCAAATAAAAACTGTTTAGAAAATAAATGCGTTTGATCTGTGATATTGTTCTATGCGGCATATGTCTATAAATGTATGTGAATGATAATTTTGTTTTAAAATATCTATGGTCTGTCATGGGAGGAAAACAATAATTTCCCAGCTTGAATTTATTCCCTGAAGCCAAAGATAATTAAGTTAAAGGGTACCGCTGCATCACTTACTATTGCGTGAAAGAGTTCCATTCAAGAGAGTTATTTTGGCTTGGAGTATTCTCCCTTCTATATAGAATATGAAGCAATCAAAACGACCTTTTCTGACTTTGAGTAACTTCCCCCGTCAAATTATTCATTGGCGTTTCGGCCTATATATTCGAGATTCATTTCGATGCTGTGAATATTGTTCCTGTGTGGCAACACTGGTGTGGGCTTTGTAGTATAAAGGTCTTGAGTTCGAACCCTGCCGTTTTTTCTCTGTTTTATTACATACTTACTAATAAATACGTGTTTTTGTATATGCGATACGACACAATTGCTCTAACCCATATCAGTCCTCGCCGTATCACCCCCCGCCGTACCGCCCCCCGCCGTATCACCCCCCGCCGTACCGCCCCCCGCCGTATCACACCCCAAAACCCGCATCAGCCCTCTCCGTATGAGCCTGCAAAACCTGTATCACACCCCTTTTGGAAAAAAAATCGTTTTTCAATATTTGAAAAGAAAAATAGATCATAAGATAGAAGCTTTTATTAGTAAGTATGTAATAAACAGAATAAAACACGCCTTTTTCCAAATTACACCCAGTATCACCCCTCGGGCCTTCGACCCTCGGGCTGATATTGCAGTCTCGGGTTGATACTGGATGTGATATGGAAAAGGCATGTTAAACAATCAAATTTGAACAACAACTAATATGTCAATGACATGGCAACGTGTGTTTTTTTTACTGAATATCTTTTTTGAAAAGGACTTAAAACTTAAAGTGACAATTGTTATAAAGCAGTTTGACACGGTGGCACCTTTTACCTTAAACAAATCTACCAAAATATTAATCTTTATTCTTAATATTTTCGAGACATGAATTTATTATATGATATTATTAAGTACATATCCTTTCACACCTATGAAAGAAAATTAACGAGGAACATTGACGTGCTCTTTTAATATCCTCCAAAAAAGGGGACAATCACTTTTGGTAGCAGATTTACTTTGACATTATTTCTTTTTCATTAAAACACCCCATGGATTTTTTTATAATAACAATGAGGTAAATTTCTTTTCCACATTGAAGAAAATTATATTGTATAAGTCACATTTTCGCCACAGCTGTACGTATCAGTGAGTGTCTGCGGAGAGACTGTAGTTGTTTATTTGTTTACGAGTAGGCGTGCAATTAAATGTAGAGACATATTACTTGGTTCTAGAGATCTTATTAAGTTGTCAATTAAAGCTCGGACCGTTAGGGAGAATGTTGATTGCGAATGGCCGGTGTCGTGAGAACAAAGGGTGGTGTGTGTTACAGTGGAGATAGGACAGGTTGTGTGGTGTGATAGAGGAGTTTAGTGTTGTGTGGTGCACGAGAGAGGACGTAACTCCGGGAGAAAGAAACTACTGAACATAAAATTATGTTGTGTAAATACGTGTACTATTATATATCTATTGGACATGTGTGTAGATAAACTGTAAATAGTGAACAGTGCATTGTTTCATAATTAAGACAACAAAAGACAAACCAGTGACTCCGTCACAAAATCATGGGACTTATCTGTGTTTTTTTTATTGACTTTCCAATATTTCACCTTTAGTAAGTTAGTGCTATTGTATTAGTTTTATATCATGTATCTTTGTGCATGTGTGCAATTTATGAATATGATTGATTTGATCAACCAGCGCTGAGTATTCCATGTGTACATGTAATTAATTCGTTTTATTTATTTTCATTCCCAGCTTTGCATCTGTTTTTGCATATTTAATAATGTAATACATGATCTCTGTCATTACTGATTACATTTGTCATAAATTGCTTACTAAATTTAGTTCTATTTTATGAAATATATATATAACATACATGTAAATGTATAGTAAAAATGTATAAAATTGATTTAATAAAAATTAATAAAAGCAGGTTTTCAGTTAATGTATTTTGATGTGTTTTTATTAAGTAATAACTGAAATATTGTATATATTTATTCATAATTTCAGTAAATATTATGAAAAACCAGGAAATATATTTGTCAAATATTCCTATAACTAACACAGTATTTCCTATTGGTGAACAGGTAAATACAGGTAAATAATCTACTTGTTCTCTACCAGAACAGACTATAATGACACCTCTAAAGTTGTCCAGTGTTTATATAATTCCTTTGATCAGAAAAAAGTGGGAGAAAGGAGAATAACCCGTTCGTAAGTCTACGTCACACCTGACTGAGTCCGACAACGCTGATAACAGTGTAAAATACAAGTTACATGGCTTCGATCGAACTATTATTCCAGGATAATATTTCTGGTTTTAGCATATATTCTGTGCCGAATAAAAATGTTGTTGAGTATAAATTTAGTCCGAGTTTCCTCTGGCCCCGAAACAACAAACATCTATCTGTTAAAATGTCTAAGTCTGGTGTCGGGGTCAGAGGAAACGCGGGCTAGCTAATTTTTTGAACAGGTCTAATGCATTGGGTTTATTCGCGTATCCGGTTGAAACGGCTGAACCTGTAAAGAAAACAACAGGCACTGATCTGAACCGAAGCTGACCTCAGGAAAATTTGGCACGTGTAGATTGAGAGGTCCAGACGTACCTGACGAAACTAAAATGCTGACTATTGCTAGTTTGCGGTATTTCTTTCTAAAACAATGTCAAGCCATATGTAGTTTTTAAGATGACGGTATGTGATTCAGTGAACGCATGAAAGAAAGGCATACTATTCTTGACACATTGTTTTTTTATTCTCCGAAACTGTGCATTTTAGCTCTGCTTATAGAACGGTCCAAGTGCGTTCGTTTATCGTGGAATATGTCTGCGCCACACGTACCGTTTCCACCGGGATACGCGAATGTAGCCTATGTCACCTTGTTTCTTTTACCTATTTATAACAATAAGAGTACCTGCAGTGGCCTCTCGATAACATTCAAGTTTTCCCGATGGAATCACAGTTTCTATACAAGTTAGCTATTGTTTGACATAATTTTAACAAAGATAGCAGAAAGTCGTTCTTCAGTCGTATGAGTAATTTCGATAATATGCTGAAAACTTGGCCACGCAATTTCCATACAATCTCGATCGGGAACCGTCGGCACTTTCCGTAAGCGAGAAAATAGTACGGAAAGTGCCGACGGTTCCCGATCGACAGGTATGCCAATTATTATTTTCTTATTGTATTCGAATTTAAATCGGGCACATGGTCGAAGGAAGATAACTCGTCTTCATAACGTCAAATCCGTTTTCAGTGTAGCATTTAGTTCCACACGTCCGTATTTTCATAAATTGGTAACAAACCAAATTGTTATACAATCAATAACGCATAGCGCAAGAAATACATCCATAATGTTTTGAGGAACAGGGAGGCTACTATCCTTCTTTGGCGCGAACAACCAATTTCTGTATTTATAATAACTTGTGTTTTTAAGTGTGTGTGTGTGTGTGTGTGTTTTGTTCATGTTTGTACTAGACATTTTTATCAAACAATTGAATAAAAAACATTCACGGGTAGTGAATGAGTCAAATAACGCAAAGGGTATCCCAATTACTCGAAGGGTATCCCCATTACATGAAGGGTATCCCGATTACACGAAGGGTATCCCAATTACACGAAGGAAGTCCAAACAAGATCTTAAACGACTCTCTCGGGAACATTCTCGTGGTCCGTATTTGTTTTCTCGACATGAATGTATGACGTTTCCTTAGTAACGCTGAAAAAAGAGATGACGCGATGGCGACCTTTTAGAATGAAAGCGCGTGTGAGCTGTCTTTTTCTTGATTTAAACATATTTTATTGCAAATAAATATTTACAAAAGAATTGGACACAAGTTTTACAACTTATCAAAGTCCTTTTCTTCAAATACATGAGTATAAACAATAACTTGATAAGGTAATTTACGCAATATACATTAATTATGTTTTTATATGGAAATGGAAAATAGAGACGAAGAAAAGAAGGAGAGCGAAACGAAGTAAAGGATAGTAACACAGATAGAGTAGATGAAAAATAGAGTGGAAGAAAAGACGGATAGAGTAATGAAGTAAATGATAGTAACACAGGTAGAGTCGGAGAAAAAAAAGAGTGATAGAGAGAGAAAGATGATCACATTCAGTCAAACCTGTTGCATTTGCTGATATAATTTTGGACAGATTTTGCAATTGAGGTATTTACATTAATGCTGAATTTAGGATCGCCATATAGGAGCAAGTCTAAAGTTAAATCATCACGAACAGGTTGAAGCTCTCTTATTAATAGATT